TAGTCAAGTCTCCTTTGTCAACTTCTTCCCCGCGCCCGAACCTCGCCCGCTGCCCCGCCACTATTACCTGGGCCCCTCCTGCCCCCACCCCGGGGTCCGCACCGCACAGGGGTCTGCGGGGGTCCGCGGAACCTTCCCGGAGGCGAGCAGCCGCCTAGGCGGTGCCCAGGCAGGAGCAGCCAGAGGTTCGGATTTTAAAGCGACCACTGCTTCCCAGAGCAGGGCTCGGCGCCTCGGGTCCCCGCAGCCTTCGCCTCCGCTTCGCACCCACCTACTCCTCGCGTGGGGTGGGGTGTGGGGGAGAAAAGTTTTGAGTCTCACTCATCTTTGCCTTAGGGGCGGTTGAACTGGTTTGATTTTATGTGAGTGAAGAAAAAAAATAGCGCCCCAATGCCCCAGAACCAGGGAATGCTAGTTAGGGAGAAATAATGCTGGGCACTGGACTTCAACGCCTTGTGCTGCGACACTGCAGCCGGCGCGTGGAGCCCAGAGCGGGACTCCGAGTTACACGAGTTACATCACCACGAGGAGAAACTCCGTAGGTGAAGCTCGGAGCAGAAGCTGTGGGGTTGATTTAAGTGTGTGTTCTGACAGCTCCGGCGCGGCTGAGGCGCTTATCTCTTCTAATCTTACTTTCATTGACTTAAAACAGCTGCCGGTTTGCCAGGGGGAAATAAAACCTATTAAATCTCCTGCCAGGGTGGGGCGGGGGAGGGGCTTCCGACAGTGATCTTGCGGAGCTGGTGTCCAGGAAAGGCGGGGAGGAGGGCGCCGCGGGAGGCTGCAGACTGGGAAGAGAGTGATGGAGAAGGCGACTCGGAAACCATTCGAACAACACGTTTCTTTTTATCGAGGCTCCCTCCTCTCCTTTTACTCTATGCAGATTTGCGTGTTCTCTTTCCCCCGTCTGTGATTTTCTCCAGAAGCGCACCCATTTGACTGCTCCTCGTCCCTGGGCACCCCCAGCTTTTCCCAGAGTGCAACAACGCGACCAAGAGATCAATGACCCTGCTGTTTATTCTTCACGCGCGGGAAGGGCAGAGCTCTGGAGGCGCTGGGGAGCGAGGCTCAGGGCTTGCCTGTCAATGCCTGACGGCCTCCTCTGTCTACAAGGCAGTTAACAGGCTAATACAGTTTCGGAAAGCACGCAACACATCCCAATCACAATACATTTACCTAGAAAAGTGATACATCCTTCCTACCCTTTTCTAGATTTGTTTTTAGAGGTAGGCTGCTAATACCTGAGATTTTGCACTTGTCTAGGGCGGAAAGTTTCCGGGGGTGTTTGACGATTGATTATTTGGTACCTACTTTCTAAAAACGGCTAAACACCTTTCCTTGGAACAAAAGTGAGAAATGCAAATCTTAATAACTCAAAGCAAAAATTTCAAAGTGTAAGCACGGTTATTATCTACTCCCACAAAGAAAAAACTTCCTCTTCCACAAATATTTGATAGCATACAGCCCATTAATTAAGAGAACAATCAAATAAACAGGGTTTTCATGAGGACTCTAAATTATCATCTGCCTAGAATTTATAAGCAGAATTTATAATCATTTGCTGTTTGGCTATAACTCTGGACAAGGCAATCAAAATCTATACCTTAAAGTTTGCCATGTTTTCTTAACTACATAATAAGAGAAACCATGGATAACAATAAGATTCAAAGTGCTAGATTACTGTGGGGTCACTGACTGTGAAAAAAATTCTGTGCCTGTGCATGAAAAACCTTTCCTATACACAATATTACTTTCTTTCACACTTGTCATTAATGACAGAAGCCTGAAAGCTTCAAGTTGGAGCTACTTACTTATACGGCGTAAGAATTCATTGATAATTTCACTCTACCTTGAATTTAAGTGTTGCCTCTATTATAGACTTATTGGCTTGTGTGGAATGGCTTACTTTATTTATTTAGTTGTTTTCCAAAAGCAGCTATTACTAGGTCAGGCCTAGTTTTTTCCAAAAAATATCCAAGAGGCAAATTAGGCTCAATTATCATACATCACCCCTCACTACTAGTTATATAAAAATGTGTAACATCTGAAATGAAACTGTCATTAACAGTGAACTTCCACTGGGTTTTAATATCTTCGGGACCACATGAAGTAGAGGGGGCACGGTGGCACTCTAAAAGGCTAAAATAGGAACGCAGCAAATTGGAGGCCATCCTGACCTCCAATGAGACTTAGTGAGACCCTGTCTCAAAAAAATAAAAAATAAAAAGGGTTGGGGATGTAATTCATTAGGAAGACCCTGGGTGCAGTCCCCAGTATTGGGGGGTGGGGGGAGGGAGAGAGGAAGGGAGGGAGGGAAAGAGAGTCAAGGAAGGAAGGAAGGACAGAGGGAGGGAGGGAGGGAGGGAGCCCTTCTTTTCCCAGGGTCTCTGGCTCTGGCTCCCAATTGTGCCTGCTTGGCCTAACACATCAGGTAGAACAAGCTCACTCCTCAGTTTTGGCTTCTACCGTTTATTCAGTGTTACAGCTTCTGGGACAGCAGGCTTCCTAATGACAGGAGCAGGCCTGGGCAAATGCAGAGGAGATGCAAAGCTTCAAGGGGCATAGTGAGATTCTGGTGAAATTTCAATGACACCAACCTCTTCCTTTCTTTTGCTCCTATAGGCAGCACATATCCAACCACTGATGGTTATTGAAACCACATGCCCTGAGGACTAAGCCATGATCATTATACGGCAACAGCAGAGCTGATCAAAAACTTCCAGTGGGATGTTTGTTTGTGTTGGTCTTTAAAAAAAAAAGCTCCCACATTCGAAGTGGGACTGACACTTTAAACATCAGTGTTTTCCATTTATCGAGCATTTACTATGTGCCAGGCTCTTGGCCAAGTACTTTTTAAATGTATTTTTGTTTCACTTTCTCACCACAAACTTGCAAAGAAATGTTACATCCCTGTCAGCTCAGAAAGGTTAAATGACTTGCCCAAGACCTTGCAGTATGCAAATTCGAGCCTGGGCTCTTCTATTTCACCTTGATACCAGACACACTTCATACCAGGAACAGTTTTCAGTGGGAAATACTATGTTGTCATATGGGTAGGTTTAAAATACCAAAGTTACATGATATTCATTCCAGACACGAGCTATGTGTAGTCTCACTCATATTGGTCATTAGATAACTGTGAAATTTCCAAGAAAATCTAAGCGTGCCATGTGTAGAGTATATATACACTATATGTTAAATATAAAAGGTATTTAGCAATATGTATGAAATTGTCTTATTCTGGTAAGCAACTTAATTTTATAGTACCTATACTCAATTTTATATGCCCATTTGAGGTATATAATGTACTATTAAATAGCTATTTTTTAATTTCAACAACTGTACAGGTGCTATATTTTAGGTGTATAAACTCATTTAATGCCCCAACTACTCTATGAATTACACTTTTATTATACAATTTCACAGATAAGGAAACAAACAGAGGCTCTGTAATGTGCCCAAGATTATATAAATAATAGGTGATGGAATGTGGATCCAAACCCAAGTAATCTGTTTCAAGATGCATACCTTAAGGCCAGACTGCTTTTTGTCCTTCAATATATACATATATAAATATTCAGTTAGAGATACACAATACACCTACATGTATTTATGGACAGATAAACAGTCTTTATAGCTAGACACTATAGTTAAAGGTAACTGGAAATATTGATGGGACAGGACTTTCCATTTACCTAAGATAGTCAAGATTTTCAAACAATTTTGAGACCATCAAAACATTTATAGGTAATGGGAGAGTACCTAGAAATTCTAGGTGTATATATGAATATCTGACATGGACTATTTCCATAAGGTTCACTTTTTATTTATCTAAGCACACACGTTAAAAATACAAAAGACAAAGTACTTAGCAGTCTTAAAGATAAAAGAGAGGAAAGCAGTCCCAGCCCATTTTCTGTTGCTATAACAAAATATCTGATATAAATATCTGATTTGTCAAAAAAGGAGAGAGATTTACTTAGCTCAATTCAGAGCTGGAAAGCCCAGGGTTGGTGACTTCATCCGGTGAGAGTCTCCTGCTGGGTCATAAACATGGTGGGTGGCGATACACGGTGGAAGTGTGTCCACCAAGAGAGGTAGCCTTGCTTTGTTACGTTCAGTCCCATCCGAGGAGAACTCGTCCACTAAACAGCATTAATCTAGTCATGAGGGTTCCACCCCCCAAAAAACAAGGCCCCACCTCCCAAAGCTACTGTGCTGAAGAATTCAACCTCAACATGAGTTTTGATGAGCACAGAGTGTAATCAAACCATAGAGATACTAATAATCATAAAAACCCATGACCTGAGAGGTTGGAAATGTAGGTGGTGCACA